AGAGAGAGAGAGAGAGAGAGAGAGAGAGAGAGAGAGAGAGAGAGAGAGAGAGAGAGAGAGAGAGAGAAAGAGAGGAAAAGAGAAAGAGAGATACACGCGTAGACGCGGCGCGTCACGCACGTAGGACCTCGGCCGCGGCCGGCTGGTTGTCAAACGCGTGGCAGACGACAGTTGACATGACATGAGGGAGAGAGCGGGCTCGAGCGAGCCGCGGCATTCGCGCGGCAGGGCGCGATCGGGCGCGACCGCTGCGGCTCGGGTTGGCACGGCACACCACACCACATCACACCACACCACACCACCACGACGGCGGCAGTCGTCGTGGTGGCGACCGGGCGTCGCGCGGACCTTATTGCGCAAGCCAATTCCCGTCCGCGGAGTACGGTGCCACGGTGCATGCGCGTCCCATTCTGTTGCCCTTCGCCGAGGTCTGCCTCGCCAAGGTAGAAGGCTGGGCACGAGGGGAAGGAGAACGCAAGAAGAGGGGAAAGGGGAAGGCCAAAGTGCACACAGTCCGGATTCAAAGGTCGGTCGAGGGGACGACGAGCACACCGACGTTCACGTCGGATTGGTCGGGTGCCATCCGACTGCCAGGGAGAGCCAGACACGATTGGCGGACCAGCAGCGTCGGGCGCGGCAGCTACGGTCGACGGTGGGGTGTGTTTGAACAAGACTCGCCGACTCAAGAGTAGCGGAGTACACTCGCTAACCGGCCTCCATCCATACGGCACACAGAGAGAGGAGAGAAGCGAGGTTGAAGCGAGGCGGAGTGGTGTGGTGAGGTGAGGTGGTCTCAAACAGGCCCCGCTCGATCAAATAACTGACCGCGCGCGCGGTCGACGAAGAGAGAGCCCGTGTGAGTCCAGGCTCCGGTGGTGGTTGTTGTTTCGCGCACTTGTCCTCCCCGTTACCGACATACACTACCTTGTGATCGCCGGCGTCGCGTCCGCGTCCGCGTCCTTGTGTTGTCCGAGTAACAATTACCCCTATCTACCGCGGGGTGTGAGCCCTTTCGCGCTCGCTCGCTCGCTCGCGTTTGTCCGCGTCCCGTCGAGTGTTCCTCCGCGTCTTCAGCGTGAACAAACGGACCGCGCATTGTGCACCGTCGGGAGGAAGAGGACGTTTTCCCCTTCGTTACGTCGCCGTCGTGGTGCGAGGAAACGAACGTGGACGCAGTCCAGTGTGTGCCCGGGAGAGTAACTCCCTGAGCGAGCTTTCCCGACGAGGATCCGACATTGCGACTCTCTTCATCGCGGGGGGGAAAGACGGTGCCTTTGGCCGGTTTGTTGCGCAAAGGGAGGCTCTCTCTGCCGTTCGATTCAGTGTCGTTCAGTGTTGTCGCGACATGCCGCGCGCTCAAGAACAGGAATCCCGGTGAATCTATTCTTGGTGAATCGCAGCAAACGCGAGGTGGATATCTAAGCGGCCACTGCGATCGCAGTCGCCGTCGCTTCTGTTCTGTGCGCCCGCAACAACAATTCATTGACATACCTGACCAGCGGCAAGACACTGTGAGAGCGGTGAGAGCCGCGCGAGCGCGCGAGCACCGAGCTACAAGCGGATCGTCCGCATCTCGCCCGGTCTCGTCCGGGTGGGAAAATTAAGGGAGTACCGGACTGCCAGCAGCCGTGGTATCGCGGCTTTCATGACTCCCGTTTGACAGCGACGACGCGGCAGCAGCCCACCCCGGCGCCGGTGAGCTCTATGACCATGCTGCAGTCGCAGAAGCTGTACAGCGATGCGGGTGCCATGACCAGCGCCGCGATGTCCGGAATGGGCAGTATGGCGCCCACGTACAGCTCGATCAACTCGATCAACAGCTGCGTGTCGATGGGCATGACGATGGGCGTCGGAGTCGGGCCCAGTTGCAGCCCGCAGGGCGCCAGCGGTTTCAACATGAGCAGCATGAGCTCGGCCATGGGGATGGCGTCGATGGGCGGCGGCGGTATGGGTGGTTACAGTGGTGCTTCCATGGGCGCCGGCGGTGCTTGCATGAGCGCCGTCGGCTACGGTCCGCTGACACCGGGCGGCGGTGCCGGTGTCAGCCGTGATCCGCTGTCACTGTCCGAGCCGGACTCGCCGAATTCGGCGTTGCAACGCGCGCGCAGCGACAAGTCCTACCGACGCAGCTACACGCACGCGAAACCACCGTACTCTTACATCAGTCTCATCACCATGGCGATACAGAACGCGCCCAGCAAGATGCTCACGTTGTCCGAGATCTACCAGTTTATCATGGACCTGTTCCCGTTTTATCGGCAGAATCAGCAGCGCTGGCAGAACTCCATCAGACACTCGCTCAGCTTCAACGACTGCTTCGTCAAAGTGCCGCGCACGCCTGACAAGCCCGGCAAGGGCTCCTTCTGGACGCTGCATCCGGACAGCGGTAACATGTTCGAGAACGGCTGTTACCTGCGGCGGCAGAAGAGGTTCAAGGACGAGAAGAAGGAGCTGACCAGGCAGACCAACAAGCACCAACAGCACCAACAGCATCACGTGTCCGCGGCCGCGGTCGCGGCTGCCGGCGCGACTATCGCCGGTCAGCACAGTCCGCCCACTCACGAGGGTGCGCCGGGCTCGAAGAAAACGGGCAGCTCCATCCACCACGGCGGCCCTCAGCAGCAGGATGACAAGGACCTGCACTCACTGGTCTCCACGCACCATCACCACCACACGGCGGGCCTGCATCAACATCACACCGTCCTCAAGAGCGACACCACGGACATAGGCGGCCTCCTTGGGCCCGAGCTCGGCGCCGCTCACGACGAGCTGTCCGCCATGGTGAATCGCAGCTTGCACCAGACCCTTTTGTCCGACAGCGGTAGCCTGCATCACGGTATGACCGGTAGCCTCAAGCAGGAGCCACTCTACACGGCTACCAGTCATCCCTTCAGCATCAACAGGTTACTGCCGCGCGACACGACCGGCACCTCGCCCGGCGCACAGGATACCAAGCCGCCCGAGATGAAGATGTACGAGCTGCATCAGAGCTACGCCAACTTCGGCTCGCCGCATCACCCGCACGCGCACTCGGCGCCGCCTGGCCATCATCATCATAACGGCATGCACGCCGGCACTAACGGCGCCGGGCCCATGCACATGACGAATCATCATCATCAGGAATACTATCAGAGTCCGCTCTACCATCACGTAACCAGCGTGGCCACTACGAGCGCGCCGCCGCCGCCTGCCGTCGCCACCGCGGCGCCGGGCTTGTGACATCACGCTACCCACCCCTACGCTTTGGCCTGAGTTGCTGCCGCCGCGGCTTACGTCGCCACCGCCGCCTCCGGAGGCGCACCTATGCCACCCCCGACGCCCGATCTATCCGCGACCACGACGACGACGAGCAGCGCGAGGCCGACGTCGTCGTCTGCGACGACCATCTCCTCGACCTTCTCGGCCTCGTTGCCGCGGATGTCGCGTAGACGCGTCGGCCGTCGTCACGGGTCTCACGACGACGATGACGACGACGACGACGACGATGACGTCGTCGACGCCACCGTCGCCTGCTGGCCGCCCGACGACGACAACGAGTACGACGACGAGAACGAGGACGAGGAGGAGGAGAGTACCGTTGTCTACAGACGGTAGACGCGTGGCTACCTGGAGGTATCTTTCCATCAGCAGGCTTCGCCTCGGGGGTGTTGTTACCGTTCGATCGCGCGGTTCATCGTCTTGGGAGAAGAATCACGGTTTGACACGTTGTCTTCTACTTCTGAAAGTCGCTATCTACTTTGCTTGTCGCGCCCTGATGGGACCGATTACTGGAAATAGGGATGTGCAAGCCAAACCCGTCTCTGTCACCGAGCCGGCTTTTCCTAACAAATTTTCTGTTTCCCTCATGAACCAAACAAATATCTGTATCGTCTAGTCTCGATTAGTCGCGCGCGATAATTAGTTCTCGAGTAAACCAACCAATTCAGCTGTCAAGTTGCCGCTCAAACAAATGGATCGGTGAGCGTCGCTCGTCGAGTACAATTGCAAACAACGGCCGTGATAAAGGCCAGGGAAATTCATTACTGTCTTTCGCGCTCTCGCGCTGGAAGAGAAGCCTCGATTTTTCTCCCGTAGTCCCTCAACGATCGACTGTCGCGTCTCCCTTCGGAATGTTATCGCCTTGTTATCACGCGCGTCCGGCGAATTGGACGTCGTGCAATTTCACGACGGGAAGGTGTCGGAGAGACGGGAACGTCTCTCTGAATAATCGAGCACACTGAATCACGCTGTTCTCGCGTTTATCGTGCCGCGAGCGCAATCGCGCGATTCCGCTGAACCTAGCTAAGAGTTTTTCGCGATACGCCGAGCTCGAGCGTGACGTCGTCGTCGGTATGTACTTTGACGCGATACACAGCTTGCATCTTTCGCGTGTCGTAAGTTTTACTTGGCGCGCATTATCGCGTCAGGATCACTCGGCAGCGCTCGTCTTTTTTGAGAGTGCCGTCGAGTGTCGTTGTTTTCGAGTCGAGGAGTCCCAAGATACCGCCCCTAGTCCGACAAATTGATATTAATTCTTCAATTGTGTAAATTCGCCGGAATACGATCGCCGCGATATCGATCCCGATAGCGGAGATTCCTGCGGAATTATCGAGCCGCTCCTCGACGTGGCGCTCTCCATTAGAGTGCGGTCGTTGATCTCGATCTCGCTGCACCTCGAGTATTGTTTACCATCGTACAATTATTGCCACATTTATTAACGCGTATCGCGTGCTGGGTCGCGCAAGGATTCTTCAGTCGAGTTCAGTTTTCTATCGCCACTTGAAAGGGAAACGACGATGATAACGTTCTCTCCGCTTATCGTCGCCTCGCGCTGAAGACGTCGTGAATTTTTGCCGCGAAACTGCGTTTCGCACTCTTCTCCTCTGTTCCGCGACTCGTGCAGCTTTTCCACGCTGCATTGTGCGTTGTCGTTTCTTCTAATATCTTGCGCAAACAAGCGACGCGTAAATTACGCAGAACGTGAATTACATAGAGCGTTTGCCAATTCGCCGTTTAACTGTAATTGCAGTTATTGTACACTCGCGTTCGCGTTATCGAGCGACTTTGGCGACACTCGGGATTATTCGCGCGTAACCGCGCCGAATTGCGCATTTCGATGTCGCCGAATAACGGCTGCGTGAAGCATTAACGCCCGCGAGAGAGAGGTTCGTTGATTAAAATCAATTTCTGCAATAATGACAACGCGCGTGTTGTACGACGTGCTATTTATTAATTTATTTTCCAATGTGTGGTTACGCGAGGTTGAATTAAGCACGGGAATCGTTTCGCACGACTTTCCGTATCGCAATCGCCCGAAATCCCGAGATCGTACAGCAGCTTTGGTATCAGAGAATGTCAGAGACACTTGCACATCCCATATCCAGTAATTGACGTCGTTGACAGCGTCGCTTAGGACGGCGTCTGACGACGCTTCGCGAGATTCATTATCATTACGACTGGCCCACCGACGATGGACCGGTGCCTCGGAAGCCTCGATTAGCAAGTTGAAAAAATGCACCCCCGTCGATGGGGGTGCGCTGTGTCGCGGCGAGAAGGGGGCGGCGTAAGCCTCGCAAAACAGTGCCAGGTAAAAAGTGAGAGCGGTGAGCGCAAGAGCGAAAAATGTGATAATATTCGTGAAGATAAATATAAATTAATGAACGTGCTCGCGCGCGCGTGCCCCGCGAGGGCGCGTTATATCATGATTATTATTATTATTATTATTATTATTATTATTATTATTATTATTATTATTATTAGTATCATCGTTATTCGAGCATACAGCAGCCGCGTTCGCGCGCACACCGACACACATTAATACACACACACACACACATACACATAAACACACGTCCTTGTATCATCCACGTGTCACGATTTTTGTACATTTCCTTTTTTTTTCACATTCCCCAGGCACGCTCGCGCGCGTGCATCGAGAAATTAACGTCGATGAAATAATTGATCCGGTTAAGTGCGTCGCGCGGGACACGACCCGCGTTTTTGTATAATACCTGTAGATAGTCGTATACTCTGTATATATATACTGTATGTATAGTCTCATATGTATACTGTATATATATACTGTACGTATGCTGTAACGCATATAATGTACAATATTAAAAACAATGTTAAAAAGAGCTATATATATAAATATATATATAGATATATATATATAAATGGAATCTTTAACGATACATTATGTTAGGTATATACGTATAACGGAGCATGAGCATGAATGAGAGAATGGAGAGAGTCAGAGAGAGAGAGAGAGAAAGATTATGTGTGTGTGTGAATGTGTGTGTCAGAGAGAGAGTGAGAAAGAGAGAGAGAGACACGCGGTATCTCGCATCATATATATTTCAAAAGCAAAGCTTTTTTTCAACCGTTGCACACGTATTCACGTTTTGCAGACTGACGAAGAATAGTGTCATGTGATATTCCGTATTCGTGGTGAAGGCGATTCACGTTTAGATTTGCAAACAATACGACGCGACGTTTGCCGGCACATTGCGCGCGAATTCCCCCGGAAATATGTCGCAGAGTGTCGGATCAGGCAATTCCCTTCGATACGACTTAATTGAATCTCTCCCTGCGATCGCGGAATATTTTGCCAGAAAGCGAAAGTCTCAGCGATAAAGATGATATCTTCGGCGACGACACTCGCGAGACTTCTTCTCCCCGATTGTCATCAAGGCGACTGAATAATCGGCGGCATTAGATCGTTATAATCGTCACACTGAAATGCGTACGGCATATTACTCGGTTTCTCGCCGGAGGAACGAGAGCCTGCGCGACGGACGACGCCGAATGACGCGGAGTTTGCACGGTAACGTCGTTGCGCGTGTCGCGAATGTCGTACGTTGCCATTTCCGCGAGTCAACATTCGAGTGCAGAGGGCTAAGTCAAGATAATCAAACGGCTGTAAGTTGTGTCGTTGGATGGAACAAGAGGGTGGGTAAAAAAAAGAGAGAGAAGGGGAAAAAGCAGAAGGCGAAAGAACTCCGCAATTAACGCGACCGGTGCAAAAGCGAGCGCGTGTGTGACGGGTCTTGCGACAACTCCACGTAAAACTGCGTGTTATTGGTCACGTAACTCACCGGTATATTCGCAGCAGGCGAACTACTCCAGCCTATGAATATGAAATTCACGAAAGCTTTTACCGTCACCGTCGCCGTCACCGTCGTCGTCGCCGTCGCCGCCGCCGACGTCGTCGCATACAAATGCTGTGCGTTGCACTTCGATCGGAGGTGGAAAGTGAAATCTCTCCGGCCGCTTTCATTGACGGACTTTTGGGAAGCTCGGATAATGGCGCGCGATTTCCCTCGATTCTCTCGCGAACGTGTCATTTTTTTTACGCGCCGCTGTCTAACTTTCTCGTTAAGCTTAACGCTACTCCTCGAATCGGTCCGATGAATCTGGACCGTCCTCGAACAAATTTCTCAGACGTGTAGCGCGCAATGAAACAGTTGTTTTTTTTTTAGAAAGATTCACACAGTTTTACACACGTAAATAGAAAAGCGAATACTTTACGTCTACAGGAAATGACTCGCGTCACTTTTGGCCGTTAAAATTAGAGTCGTGAATTCGAAAATCTCTGCTGGAATCGAGTATCGAGATATGAGAGAGAGAGAGAGAATGTGTTTGAAACACGTGTCGAACTTCGTATAAACTTGTGTAAATAAGGAACCATGCGTCGTGGATGGTCACTAATTATTATTGTTATTATCATCATTATTATAATCATCGCCATTATTACCACCACCGCGTCGTAACTGCATTTCTATATCACGGACACGAATTTTTTTTTAACTTTCCAGCAGCGTTAGACAAAGTGTATTGGCGAATGAAACATGTAAGAGACATAGCAAGCGTGCATATTCACAATCATTATTCGTCAATCGAACACATCTCACTCGACTTTGCCTGTTTCATCTTTCGATTGCTTTTTTCTTGTTCCGAATTGTATCAAATTGTCCTCGTTAATGTCTCGCAGATATGAGGGCACAATTGTGTGACGCTCGCGAGATAAACCGAGAGAACTCCTCTTTAAGTGAGACAATTAAATGAAAAAGAAAACACCAAAAAAGAACAAACATATACAAGTACAATTTCTCCCGTAAAGCATGAAAAGGTTGGCAAAGATTTTGCAACGAGCGGGGCCGACGACTCGGGAAATTCTCTCGCGAGATGATCACAATCGAGCTCCTACTCTCGAGAATGCATCGATCGAAGAGAGAACGAAGTAAAGGAGGAAGCGAATCCTCCTGTAAGGAGGGCTTCTCGAGCTAGGACATACGCGAAATGCTAATCTCGAAATTACGAAATCTCATATTTACACGCTTTCACTGTCCCTTTGACAGTTTCACGCCGTTTTCTCGAAAGCGAGAGAGAGGGAGAAAGGGGGGGAGAGAGAGAGGGAGAGAGAGAAAGAAAGAGAGAGAGAGAGAAGAAGGAAGAGTATATGTGTATGAGTGTATGTGAGAGAGAGGGAGAGAAAGAGACTTTTATCACCATCGTCGTCGTGTGCGTGGTATTGCCGGGTCTGGGATTCAAAAGATCGATAAATAATTAATAATTTAGCGGTGTGGGCTCGGATTTCAATGATGTAAATACACGAACATGATCTCTACGCGCGTTGTACTCGTGAGAGACGCGTGCATCCGCGTCCCTCGTGAGAAGTGTACATTTCTCGAAAGGAAAGAATGTATTATAGCAGCGAAATTATACCGATTTCAATATCTGATTACCTCTGTACCTTCAATTCTTCGGCGTCGTTCTCGATCAAACCTGCTCCCTACCCACCCGTTCGACAATGTCGTCATTCGCCCGATTCGAGTGATCGAATGACAACAGGGTGAGAGAGAGAGAAACAGAGAGAGAGAGAGAGAGAGAGAGAGAGAGAGAGAGAGAGAGAGAGAACGAGTGAGTGAATGGGCGAGTGAATGAGCGAGTGAATGAGCCAGGCACGAAAGGACGAGTAGGATATGAATAGGCGGCTCGTAGGTTAAAAAGAAAATCACAGTTAGCGGTGTTCTAGGCAGACCCTCGAGCTAATGTACAAGTGGTGGAGCGATAGACCAAAATCAAAGCGCAGACCCAGAAGGCGAATCACGTGAGAATGGGCTCCACAGTGGGCTTGTAAACACGTCGCGCTAGTGATGAAGTAATTTTCAATTAAACAACTGTCTCTTGACATCAAGAGAGAGAGAGAGACCCTGAGTATACAAAGATCGAATCGTTGCTATGATTTGCTATTTGGGCGTGTGATTTGATTTAAGCCCATCATTCCGTCAGCTGTTTATTGGGTCACTGGATTTGCTTGGAGTATTGTACTACGACAGAAAGAAATTGCGCCGTTGTTAGAGAAAACGAGTGAGAGTGAGAGAAGCGACGAATCGACAAGATAAGGATGTAAATGTTTCAATAAATCCACGTATTTCTACGAAAACTAAACACCGCTGTTTCTTTTGGACGCCATCGTTCTCCTCCTCCCTGCGACTCTTCTTCGTCCCCTCACGGGAACGTTGTTTGCGAAACCGAACGTATTGCGAACGCGAGCCGTGCGTATTTTATTCGACAGATTCTCCCGACACGGAGATAGACGCGGCGAAAGTACAATCGCGGCATTATGTTTTTATCGTGCGATGATTTCGCGGTGAAATTTAATTAAAATGTATTGAATGCCGAGTGTGCTTCATATGCTAATGATATGTAAACAGTCGCATTAATTGTTACTTTTGATAGAGCAAAAGCGACATTACAGCGCTGCAGTGCCGCACTAAATTCATTAAATTCGTTTCTTCAAATGACAAATGTCTCAAACACAACAACGCCGGATAATTCGTCGAGCAAATCGCGATCATTGCGACATTTATCTGCGATTAGCAGTGGCATCTTCGAGTGTCTTTATCACGCTGTGCGTACACTGAAATGTGTCCAATATAATTTACGATGTTGTATGTGAAATTGGAAATTCTTATCGTAATCTGTCGCTGTGTTACACGCGACTCTTAATTAATTATCATACACTGGCGCTGTGTTTGTCTGGGTGACACACATTTTTTTCTCTCTCTCTCTTTCTCTCTCTCTCTTTCTCTCTCGAGTACGTTACTTTCAGCACAGATAGAGCGCGTACAGTGAATAGCGCGAATTTAAATATTTATTCTCGTGTACCCTTCCTCGTTTTTTTTTTTTATTCCGTCCATTTCAGAACACTGGAATCTTGTGAAAGAGATGTCTAACCGCTGAATTAAATTCGAAACTATGGCGTATTGGTTGCAGTTATCATCAGTCGTGTAATCAATTGATTAATTACGACTCCAGATTAGCGATCATTCTACTTTTTTTTCATGAGTGAAAACACGAAAAGCGAAGAGTCTCAAGCGTCGAGCTCGACGATTTCAACGATCATGTGTCTCTTCTAACAAGATGAAGATTCTAGAAAGATGAAGAATTTTTCACATGGAACTCTTTCTACTTCTCACGAGTTCACGCTAGGGGAAAATATACGCGGTCGATATCCCCAGTGTCGGTTTTACGTAGTGCGTGTGATTTAATTGAAGCACCATTGACAACGGGCTTTTCGGACAATCTTCTACTGATGGCGAGTAAAAAAAGAATTCGTCTATTGATAGTGTCGTGTCTACTGATTTCGTTTACGATAACGCAAAGACATGTGCGTGTATACGTACGTGTTTGGACGTGAAGGATAAGATGAAAAACAAGATATAGATGAGGTAGCACGTGTGTGACGGCGGTGTCTTTGCCGGCGGGGAGAACCTCAAAAATTTGCGCCGATAATAACATGCCGGGATCGTACGCGTGTTTTCATATATTATCGTAACTCCAAATTCACTATTTCGCCCAGATCTCGAGCACACATTCGTGTCGTGGAGGGTGAACTCGTTGAAACTACGGATTACTCACACGTGCAGTACGTGCGTTAATCATTCTTTATCTTATTCCTGTTTCTCAACGATCCATACGTATTTTTTTATCGAAAATGGAATGCGGGAGCTGACTACTGACTCGAATTAAACCTACGATCATAGTTCTCTCTTTTTCAAGAGATCTGCCACGTATCGATCGCCTGATATGGTAGTGTTCGGCCGCACGCATTTATTAAGCGCGGCGACGGCGGCGGCGCGCGCGTTTCGCCGTCGGTATAATAATATTTAACTTCGATTCCGGGGACATTTGTGCGAGAGCACACTCCACGATCTATACTCATTGACCTTAAGCTTTTTGTTGGCCAAGTGCGATCGAGTATCTTGTGTAAATTTCCTAATCTGTATATGCAATCCGCCCGTTCAATGTCGATTTACCGCGCGCGACTCCACATAATCCGTAATCCCAGGTGAAAGCCGGAAATGCCGATTCGACGTGATTAATTAATCGTTACGTAATCGATGCTTAAGAAGTTCGGAAAAGACCGATTTCTATGGAACAACGTTCTATCTCTTTCGGAGTGTCACAATAAATTTGACCAAATTAGGAGTATCATGAAACCAACATTTCTGCAGCAAAGTGCAACTTGTATAAATGCATATACGAATAAGTCCTTCTGTTCTTAAAGATAGTATTATAGTCTCTTTTGTCACATAAATTCTTTTCAATTTTGCTACGGAATAGATCATCAATAAGATCTATCTTACTGAGGAGTTAGTAAATTTTACTAGAAAAACGTAGCAAATTTTTTAGCATATCTGAGAATATATATAAATCTCCTAGAATATATTAATAGCACATATGAAATAAAAAGAGAGTCAGTTGCTGCAAGATGTCGATCAAATTCGGTTAAAAAATTCACGGTAATATTTGCTATAAAATTCATTCCGTGTGTTTATACACAGAGAGTTTTCGTTAAAATCGTCTCACCGCGGTTGTTTTGCTTTTGAAGTATGAATGAAAAGAATCGCGTCCTCCATCGCTCATTTCGATAATTATCATAGACGAATAGTTGCCGCTACTTAAACCGATAATATATTTACCATTATATTTTTGGAATTTCTTCCGGTAAGTTATTGATTTTCCTAGAACGTAGCTGACGAATGAATTTAGACATGTTTTCATTATCTTATCTCCCACTCACGTCATGCACGTCGAGATTCTCAATATAATACCTATCATAATTCTATGTATCTCAACAAAGCCCTTAAAGTACGCAGTTGTGCGCGTTAAAGTTTCTACGTGTTGGATATTTCTTTTTATTTTTTTTTCCACTAATCATAGTTATGCAAGAATAAAATTACTAACCCACAAAATTGTCATTTTTGAATTTCTGTTTTACCAATAGGTAATCCATACATCTTCCTACGTAAAACAAAAAAGATCTAAGCCTTATAGACCAAAATGAATTAAAAAACAGTTTTTATCTTTTATTAGTTGCGCCATTTTTTATTACTTCATAGATTCATATTCCTCGATACACTTTATAGATCCATATTTTTCGATATTTTAATTAAAAAGAAAAATAATTAAATTTCGATCATTTTTCTGGAAGTTATGAGCAAATAAAGATGTGCAGAATAAAATGTTTCGAGTTTACGTAATTTTTGGACGTTTAGGACTTTAGCATTAAATGACCTCGCGTTCTTTATCACGAAATGTAAAAGTGGATCCTACAGAAAGTACATATATTTTCGTTTTTCCAACGCGGAGTTGAGACACTGATATCGGCGAATACGACGCGATTTCTCCGTGCGCTTTAAATATTCGGGTATCGCGAGGTCGCGAATGAATGTCTCAGTGAATACGCCGAGTGATTTCCCTGATCTGTGCGATTCGCGAGCCGCGATCTAGGAAACGCAAACCCGCGAGAGATCGTGGCAGGTCGGCGGGCTGTTGTGTATCTCACCGCGCTGCGGCGACCATATGCGTTCATGCTAATGTCGTGTGCGCGGAGAGTCGGCTGGCACAGCTCGCACATACATAACGCACACACGGCTTCGGCCAACGTCGGGGGATTATCGTGGGCGATAAGGTGATGGTGCTCTGGCGACCTGGTTGTATATGTATGTGTATATATATATATATATATATATATATTTATTTATTTATTTATATTTATATATGTATATGTGTATATATATTTGTATATGTATATGTGTATATATATTTGTATATGGGTGTATGTGTAAATATATATATGTATATATATATATATCTGAAAGCTGTCACGAGTGCGCCATCGCGCCCGTACGCTTGCTCGCTCGCCGTAAACGAGTCTTAGTTAACGGGCGGACACGCGAAGGCGCAATCTCCCGCGGATTATTCGACATGATACACGGGGCAGATATACACCGTGAGAGAGGCACTACAAACCTGTGTATCCGGCCAATATTTGACTAAATCATGAACAATGTTTGATTGTACACACGCGCGTCGCGCGCACATGCGCTCGGCGGAGCGCAGCGCGCGAGTGCGCGCGCGTTCTGGCATGACGCGCGGCCGCATAACGAAACTGCATGGCGGCGCACCGTGGCGCATCGCTCGCGCCGTATATCTCGCGTTAATTCGCAGCCCCTCGCCGGGGATTACTCGGTGCGGCCGGGGGAGGAGGTGTGTTACGCCGGAATATTGACGGCGAAGGTGTCCGTCGACGAAGAGCCCCTCGAGACGCGCCGAATATACCGAGTCTACCGAGTTTCGTTTGCATTAGAGCTCCACATTACGCGTTCAAACGAAAAGAACGTTTAAATGTGTATTTTAGCGTACGCGTTTGCAGATACGCATAATAAAGTAATCGCGATTACACGTGCTCTTGAAATTAAAACGTCTGTCGGTTTTACTAACTTTGAATCCTTCGAATTATTCGTCTATCCGTTTGTAGGTCTTTAAGAGGCAGGAACCAGGATCACTTCAACCCTTTCTAGTAACTGTATAAGCCAAGGAAGACAGAATCAAACAACAGTGACATTACCGTGTGAATATGCTTTGTTCCTTCGCACAACTAGTCGTAGTCGTATAGACAGTTATTCGTGTTTTTATTAAAAATGTATGTGTATATTTTACCTGCATTGTGTGGAGCTTAAATATTATATAGAATACCTAACCGTTCTACAGAATTCTTATTTTTTTATATATAATATCTAGGCATTTCGTATACAATGCTTAGATATACAATGTCGGGTTTTTCATTTTATCAGTAATATATGCTTTCTTAAAATGAATCAGTGAAAATGCTTCTGATCAAATTAGTAGAAGAAACATTTCACCGATAAGCAGTGAATATTCATTGATTTCTAGTGGAGGCACTCCCACTTTACTGCTTCATTTTATATCTCACTGATTGTGTGATCAATGGAAGTAAGATTTCACTGCAAAATTTATACAATACAAATTCACGCTGCGTCAAATCCAACCTTCCGCGTTCGTGGCAATAGAATTGCCGTGTGATTAGAGTGCAATGACACTGTCCGTGTTTGCAAACTGCATCAATAATAGGAACAGTC